TATATATGTAATCTTTATTACCCATTTAAGCCGTCTCCAGCCATTATTAATCTCAAAGTGGGTTCCTCGTCACCGAATCCGTAAGAGTCTGTTAGAGTTTCAAAAACACACATTTTGTTGATTATTCTCATAGAATAATTGTACTTGAAAACATATAGGCAATTTCTAGTATTTTCTATATTTGTTTGATGAAAATTATATCCAAGTTACACAACTTCTAATCTTTTGTCTAATCTATATTTTTGTCTGACAATTTATAATAGGCCTCTATTAGCAATCAGATACCTCTAAGGATCCGAAAAGTAGTAAAATTGGTGACAAAATAGAAAATAATGAATTAATTTTCTCTGGAAAAGTTATCTCAATGATTTGTGGCATGCCAAGAATCATTTTCTCAAGTAATTTCGTGTTATTTGATAGATTATTTAGATAGATTAAGTTGATAGATTCCTAATCTCGTATTTTTCCAGTAATTAGGTCAGTACAACATAATTTGGATTATTGTATTTTTAGCTTTCTAATTGTTGTTAATTACTTCAATGTCATTATTATATATTGACAATTTGAAAGCATTGCTAAGTATAAGCTTTTGTTATGTTTCATCATAATGATTTCCTCACTTCTCATCAGAGAAGAAAATAGCTTATATTTGTGTGCAGATTATCGATCATTATTATTACTTACGTTGAAAACGACCGATATTCTAAGCGTAAAATATTCATTTTACAAAGGCTTGCTTTTTCAAGGACATCAGCACTTGAACTAAAGAAAGAAACACGATATTATATGTAAAGTTTAAAGCTATGTCGTCAGTAAGTCTGCAATCTAGCTACTTTTTAACAGTGGAAAGCTGTGTAACCGTAGCAAAATACTGTTGCACATATTAATTGCGCTTTAAGTCCTAACATTTTTTACAATGCATACATTTTCAGTTCTAAAGCTGTTTTCACTCACAGTATTATTAAGTAATGTTATATTATTATTATCTGTGATCTTGAAGCAATATCTGCAATAATGACAGAAAGGAGTCTTACTGAATTTCATTTATTTGATCTTTCAAAACCGAATATTTAGGTCCCATTTTATCTACACCATTATAATAGAAAGAGTCTGAATTTAATGTATTTGATATTTAAAAACAAAACATTAACACTACCAAACTTATAACATAAATGGCTTTTCTTAATTTCATTATTTAATATTTGATAGCCGAATATTAATATCCCAAATTATCTTCACAATTATATCAAAAGGCAAATCTACTAAATGTCATGAATTATATACATATATGAGCTACGAGTCAAAGCAAAAGCCCTTATTCTTATCCTATAGAAGGTGGCTATGTTATATGAAAACGATTTCGGAGCCTCACCATGTCATTGCTGTACATGACGCAAAGTTCGGTCATGCTCTACGAAACAACAGTGTACCTTGACAATAGCCCGGCTGAATAGTTTTCGTTTCAAAAGGTTCCATCGTAAAATTGTTGGTGTTACATGGATTGCTGATTTGAATAGTCAAAATCGTTTGACTATGCGATTTGTTTTTTGCTATTAATCACAAAGTTACATATCTGTGTTGTGCCCACCGCGATTTTTAGCGTAATAACCCCTCTAACGGGTTGCGAGATCGAATCCCATCACCGAACATGCTCGCCCTTTCAACCATGTAGACTTTATAATATGAAGGTTAATTCCAATATTCTTTGGTGAAAAGTAGCCAAAGAGTTGGCAGTTGATTGTCTTCCATCTAGTCTATCACTTCAAAGTTAGGGACGACTAACTTAGATAGTCCTTGAGTAGCTTGTGCGAAATTCAACAACAACAGAACAACAATAATATAACGAACTCAACCCACTGAATACGGACGTGAACAAAAACTAACGGATGTTTTTCGTTTTCTCAATTGTTCTTAGAATATTAAGATATCTCACATATGAATTTATAATCATACATCATCAGTGATAAATTTATAAAATATTACTATACTCAGTTAATCATTTGTTTTTCTATATCCAGAAAAAAAGTAAACCGACGGGTTCTTAAAACCTAATAATACAGTCCGTGACTGTGAAAAAGAGTTGGGTGGTTTCCTATATTTTGTCTTTTGTTCCTAATAAAATAAGTTCACAACAAAGTATAAACAGCATGAAACATATTTTTTACCAAAAATTCTTATTTGTAAAAATAACTTGTTTATTTTGAAGTTCTATGGTATCTCAAGGGAAGATATTCATTTTGAAAAGAGTTTAAATAATACAAAGCTATTCAAGTATTCCGCGCAACTGGAGTTTTGATTGAATAGCTTCTTCATAAACGCTAAAGCGGCACTAAAGTGCTACATATCACCAATAATAACGAACGAAATTTGCTGAACTATAAGTATTGATAATTTCTTCGGTTGAGTAAATTTTCAGGTTCTTTTCAAAAACATAAACAAAACCGAAAAACTTGTTTAAGTTTTAGCACTAGTTAAAAAAAATAAATTTGTCTTTTCTTTTTTTAAAATTTAATATTCTACAAAATATAAAACAGTACATACTGAGGCGTGTTTTCTTTCTATTTATTATCTTCCATTACCATGGTTATGTTTGAGCGTTGAAATTTACCATGACTGCCTTACCAAGCTTAATACTGTTCTTAGGTAGTCACGTGGATGCTAATATGACAAAGCATATAAGCTAATATTCACTGAATATTTGTTTTGGGCTCACCTTGTTAGCATATATTTGAAAAAGATGAACTACAGTTTATTATATTAAAAAGTTGTGCAACTAGTTCAAACTTAAGAGTATCTGTGTGGAAGTTCCTTTAGCTTATGTACTACATGTTGGGCCACATGTATATATATATATATATGTATATATATAACCTTAATCATAATTTATAATAATATTTCGGTTCAACATATTTTGCAGAAATTGACCATTAACTTACACAAACCAATTAAAAATCGTGATATAAAATATAATATCAGGTTAAAATTGGATTTAGTACATACTCTTAGTGAGTTGCAACAAAGATGTAAAGCTTAACGAGTTTTCAAAATATATACTTAAAAAGAAAACTACGCACTTTTCTTGTCGATTGCTCATTAAATTGAGCTTTATTGATTGCCCTGCAGGTCCGCCTGAGCCTGTAATCAACTGTACCTGGGCCAATGAAACTAGTTATTTTCTTCTTGTCGAATGTAAGTCAGGCTACGACGGTGGTCTTCAGCAACTATTTCAGATGGAAGTTTACGATGTGGATAAAAAACATCTCCAAATCAATCTAACCAGCCACAGTAAACCAGTTTTTCATGTCTCTGGTCTAACTCCGGGAGCCTCTTTGATTCTCGTTGTGTATGCCATTAATGCGAAAGGAAGAAGCTCAGCCGTTGAAATGAATGTAGAGACATCTGTGTCCACAGAACGTCAGTTCCGTAAGTTCCTTTTTTTAGTCGTTAGCTACCTGTTTGCTTCGCGTCTTCGTCAGGTTTATTTATGTGGATGCCAAGATTAATTTGCTACTTATAAAATTGAGAAAATGTAATATTTTAGAATCCTTGCAATAAGAATATAGTGGAATAAATGAGTCGTTTACAAAACAATTATTTGCCCCCCAGTGGCACAGCGGTATGTTTGTGACCTTACAACGCTAGAAACCGGGTTTTGATACCCGTGGTGGGCAGACAAACAAAACAATTAATAAATTATTTTTCATGTTTTCTCTTTCCAAACCAAAATGAAAATGGTTTTATGCTAAAAGATACATTGAAAAATAAATATTTTTTATACATAAGATAGTTTGAATTAATTTGTAGTATCTAATGTAAAAGGAAGAAACATTTACTGCATTTTAAATTACGTAAAATAACAAATGTTATCTTATAAATTAGAGCAATGACCAAAGTCAAAAGGGTAGCCAATTAGATGATTTAAAACGTTATTGGTCCCTATGTGTCTGTCACAGAGTGCTTTGATTGTACAAAATTATTTGGTTGATAAGTATTTGAAAAAAAAATCTAACATGAAAACAACTGATCTTTTAACCACAAGATAAAACCAATTTATCGGAACCAAAAGAAAAAGGAAGAAGGAGGAGCGTCAGTGGTCTTAAAACCAGGCATACAAATTCTTAATACTGGTAGCATAATCCTTTGTGTTCATATGATACAATTTTAAATAAATATTTATTCCACTAATTTTAACTAAACCATCTTGTCTAACTAGCCCCTGGTGGCTCAGTGATAAGCCTGAGGATTATAACGCTAAAACTTTCCTTTGGATAAAGAAAGTCCACTGTGTAATTTTGTGCATAACAACAAACAAAAACTTTCCAACTAAAATGTTTAATTTATGATATATTTATAACGTTGTTTGAATTAAATCAGAAATTATGATAAGGTACAAAATGTAGAACATACTAAATAGGTGATTACGTAGAAAATAATACTGGATGTTTATTTGGGAAAATTATTCTTTCTTCGTTCATTTTTCGTTGCTGAAAAACTATTAGAAAGGCTTACGTGTCTTAGAAAACTAAAGAACAAAACTATGTTGATGCTAAGAAAGTTTTGTTTTGTAGTGAAAAGTAACTGACAGTAAAAAAGTTTGCACGCAGAATTTATTTTATATATAACATAAGAAAATTTCTGTATGCAGAATGTTTTACTGTCAGTTAATTTTCATTATTTTCAAGCTTTAATTTTAGAAGATAGAATGCAGCAGAGAGCTGTAAATAAACTATATTGTTAGAACTTTCATGTAATTAAAATGAAATAAAACTTTCGTTATTTTTATAATCATTACTGTTGGCATCGTAGATTTGTGATTTCATCATCAGGTAAAACCGATTTCTCGACAAGTATCAGAAAAGCAAACACGCATATAACGGTAGATCCAATCAAGAAATAAAGGGTGCCTTCTGTGTTTGACAACTTGGCTGAGTTTCTTTAAGTGTGAAATAACAATACGGGACAATGTAAATAAATGAACAAACTCTTCATAGTAACAAATAAACAGAAATCATAGTGTGTATACTTGCACAAACTGACTCACAGTCAATTCTACTGAAATGTGTATAGTTTCACAGTTTTCTTTCTCTCATAATTAATCTAAAATATAATGATCTTGAAGTATGTCTTCACTCAACTACTGTATCTTCTAGTAGAAATATAGCTCGCTCAAGAAAGTGCACCTGAATCCAATAGGCTAATTCGCTTTCTTTCTCCAGTCGACAGCGTCATCTCGTAAGTTTTGTTCTCTCACAACATTAGTTAGCTGTTACATTTAATTAACATCAACTTACCCAGCATAGGATATTATAGCATCAATCTTTTCAACCTAGATACTATATGTTGCTACAGTATCTTCACATGCAGAATAGACATTATCTACACTAAAAATCAACAAACTAAGCAACTAGCAATCTCAACGACTTTCTGAACCACGTGTTTTAGCTAAACTGCACGCAAACCAAATAAACGAAAAGTTTTATAATTTCGTATATCAGCAAACCCAGGTAGAAAAATTTGATAGCCTGCCTACACAGATGTGTGATCAATTATCAGATTTTGCTGAAAACTTGTATCACTACTATGGATATACGAAGATTGTCATAAAATGGATGTTGTTTTTAAATTCCTCAAAACTTTAGTTACTTACACATTAAAAAATGTTACGTGTTGTGTAATTATTACTAAAGCTTAAATCACCTGGGAAATCTGTCTTAAACGTATAACTTTGCGAGAACTCTTTATATATCTAAAAATACAGACTATTTTTAAGATATATATATATATATGAAGGGTGTTAACTAAACCATTTTTTATATGTTCATATTTTTCACTCAAAACAACTGTGTGTAAATCTGTCTACAAACTTTTCATCAAAGAAAGCTCAATATATAAAATATTATTGTCATCACTGACGGTTAATTGATTAAATGCGTATTTACAAAATTAGGTATGGAAAAGCCAATCTTGAACGATAATAAAATTTTATAGCTAATAAATATCATTTCGTATTACTTATAGAAACTGTTTTATTACGAGAGCATTTATATGAATATGTTTATCCCCACTGTCGATATTGTTTTTACTCCTGTTTATGTTTGTGTGTATACTATAACTCGAGACTAAATGGTTACGTTTTATCGAATACAGATCAAAGGCCAAGGTCACACTGAAGTTCAAAGTCATAATTTTAAATATTTTCATATTATTTGATCAAATTTTGTACAAAGATTGAGTGTCTCCCAAGGACAAATGGGTTAAAGTTTGGCGAGTTTACAACAAACTAGAAGGTAACACTGAAGATCAACCATTTTCGTTATAATGATACCAAACTGGGAGTTTGTAAAACGGATAAAACTCAAACAAAGTGAGATAGATTACTTTGTTGTTTTTGTTTGTTTTGTTTTTTTCTGTCGGATTTTGCTTAAAGCAACACAAGGGCAATTAGAGCTAGCCGCCCTTAATTTTGAAGTGACAGTCACACAACCCACCGAAAACTCTTGGGCTTCTCTTGTTAGACCAAATATTGGTATTTCCCCGTCACTGTTATAGTGCATTCACAGCCCCAAGGTGCAATAGCGAAACACGGAATTTCAGTTTTACAGTCCAGCACGCTAACCATTGGGCAGCGCTCGGCTAATTGACATAAAAAAGATAATCTTCGTATATATATATATATATATATATATATATATTA